ATTTTCTTTCGTAGAGCACAGAGTGTTTTCACTGTGCAATTGGACCAGTTCTGAATATCGCCCAGATATTCGGTATATTTCCAGTGTCCGGAGTTCGATCTTCATCGCCCACGAAGCTTCAGTTCAAAGTGTTTTCGTTCCTTACTATTTATTCAGGTTTCATCGCCGTCATGATGTTTATCACGACGATGATATCAATAGTGTACATGGTGAAAATTTTAAATACCGACATATTTCATACACGAGGTAGGTGAAAAGTTCTTCTTTCTTCTTCTTGGAACGCTATCTTTAAGTGCCATAAATCATTTATATTAAATGGAGTTTTCATACGTTATTTTATACACGGAGTAGGTGAAAAGTTCTACTTCTTTGGACGCTACCTTTCAGTGCCATAAATCATTTATATTAAATACAGATTTGTAATTTATTTACGTTTAATTTTGGATTATACAGAAAATGTTAATAAACAGGATGAGAACGAATAGTGAAATTGACGGTGCGGAATAAAATTTTTCGATGAAAACCTTTAATTTCCAGAAAATTAACATTGCAAATTAGAAGAAAGTGATTAAAAAAAAATTGGAACGTTAAATTCGCGAAATATTTGATAAAATATTCTAATAGGTGTATTATTATCAGCAGAATATTTTAAATATTATAGCAGTCTGAAAAAGGAAATGTAAACGATCGATAATTATCAACGAAAGTTGCAACGTAGAAAATAATCAATGTCTGATTTCTAATCTTACGATATTTTGCTGCAACAAAATTTCTTCGCAGTAAAACTTTTACGATAACAATTTTATGATACAATCCGGTATTTCACACATCATGATAGTTTAATCGATAATCACAGCGAGGCGTGAGAATGAAACGTAAATTTTCCAGAAGGCATGCTTTTTATACGAGGTGTTCCATTTTAATAATCTCACGCAATTGCGTGTGAAACTGTTGTTCGAGAATATCTTTCACACCGAATAAAATCATACCAATGAAATAACTATGTCGAAGCAGAATGAATTCGAGTACCGATAATCACGCAGTCAGATTAACCCTTTAAGAATCTTTTACTTTGACGTTCGAAAATTTTTTCAAAATTTCAAATTAAAAATTTTAAAATTAAGGTGGAAGTATGCAAATAATATGAATCAGGGCTTAAATTAAGTGTGCCAAAAAGTGCCAAGGATACAGCGCGAGAAAATATTTAAAACGCCTATAGGATCTAAGGTCACAGCGCGAAAATATTCGAAACGCCTATAGGCGTCAAAGTTACAGCGTGAGAAAACTTTCAAAACGCCTATATGCGCTAAGGCCACTGTTTGAGAATATTCGAAACGCCTATAGAGTGCGCGAAAATATTCGAAACGCCTATAGAGTGCGCGAAATATTCGAAACGCCTATAGGCGTCAAAGTTACAGCGTGAGAGAACTTTCAAAACGCCTATATGCGCTAAGGCCACTGTTTGAGAATATTTGAAACGCCTATAGAGTGCGCGAAAATATTCGAAACGCCTATAGGCGTCAAAGTTACAGCGTGAGAAAACTTTCAAAACGCCTATATGCGTTAAGGCCACTGTTTGAGAATATTTGAAACGCCTATAGAGTGCGCGAAATATTCGAAACGCCTATAGGAGTCAAAGTTACACTATTCGAAAATATTTGAAACGCCTATAGGCGCCAAGGCCACAGCGCGAAAATATTCGAAACGCCTACAGAGTGTGAGAAAATTCTCAAAACGCCTATAAACGCCAACTGCAGTGAAAGGGTTAAAACGGAACACCCAGTATTCCTGTATAAAACGTGATAAAATACGATCAGATAAACCTGTGGCGTTATATTGGTTTTCAGGTGGGATCGGTACTGCAACAGTTGGCGCTGTGTTCTATGGGAACAGTCTGCTGGGCAGCATCTTATTTTTCTGGCTATCCTCACGGTGGATACCCCTTCAATGCGAGTGGAGAGTCATGGAACAATATATGGACAGGTCGATATCAGTAGCTTTGTTCGTTGTATCAGGTACAGAAAGGGCACGATTCACGAGTTTACCTATCGTGTCGTTTGCCGCTTATCTGACGCGCACGCGAACCTAAATGTCCACTAATCAGCGATGCACCGGGAAGTCGCAATAATTGGTTTGCTTTATTGTGCAAACGAGAAATCGTGAGATTTTCTGAAACTCTGTTTTAGTTTTAACGTATGCAAGATGTAAACGTATTTCTTCTGTTGTACAATTGTCGTGCAATGTTTATGTTAATTGTGAAAAAACGTGGAGAATTTTTTATAATATGTGAATGGGACTTTGAAGATTTAATTTTGAAGGGTTATTGTGCATAAAGTTCCTTTTTGGAATGATATCAAAATTTCAATTAAAATTTGGAATAAATGTTCTATTTTTATTCGTATGAAAATTTCTTTTATGGATAATTCGTAGGTACGAATAATATCGGATTGTGCAAAATTTGATTTGTTCAGATTTCGAAGGAGATCCTTTTATTCGAATTTCGTCTTTTGATAAATAGAAGTGCAATATTTTATCGTCGGTATAGTTCTGAGAAAATCAAAGAAAATCGCACCATTGCAATTCTAAATACACTTCAGCGATAATGTTCGCGTGTTTCTAGCAAAACAAAGTGTAAAGTGGATACCAGCGACTATTTACTTCTACGTTGTATTGTAATTAGCGGATGAGTATCGTTTAAAAAACCATTTAATCGCAGTATATCGTAGTATATTATTAGAGTGTGTTTATGTTGAAACGATTTACAGTAATATTACACAGTTTCCTTTGAAAAAAATAACAGAAAGTTAATCCAGACTAAAAAATTTGTCAGTGAGCATAATTCTTTCTTTTATCTTTTATCCTTCTAAAATAAACAATTTACCTTTAAATTATAAAGATATTTTTGAAACGTCAGCAGCCTTGCACAAAAATTCGGAACACTTGCTATCACCTATAATAACGTAATTGCAGTAATTCACAAAATCTAAAATGAAATTTTATTTATATCTTCCTCTGGATACAGCAATTCGTCAGAAACTCCACGTCTACGATGGAAATTCTTCCTCATAAGTTCTGTGGTTATGCTACTGGCTCTCATAGAACATATTCTAAGCGTGTTCAACAATATCGAAGGTTACGACTGGAACGGATCAAACTCTACGTTTCGTAATTTCTTGGAGATATACAGTTTACGTTCGCACGCGTTCATCTTTAACATACGTGAGATATCGTTCTAAAAATACGAGTTATCAAATGGACTTTATGTAATTGAAGTAATTTTCATTTTCAGTGGACTATAATTTCACCTTCGGTTTGTATATCTTCGTTGTTAGCAAACTGGCAACTTTCACCTGGAATTTTACGGATCTTTTTATCATGCTGGTGAATAATTGAATAAATATTTCACACTTATACATAATATTTCGGGATAAATATTTAACGTCGTTATTCTTTCACTTTGATTCTATTCGATTAAAGCGCTAATTTATGCAGGGTGATTAGCTTATTGTGTTTCTTTTTAACCCTCCGTCGGGCGCACCTGATCTCTCAGGCACAACCATAATTCATCTACGTATACAGGGTGTCCCGTAACTCCTCGAACACCCGGAAATGGGAGGTTGCTGGGGTGACTCTGAACAACTTTTTCCTTTTCCAAAATCCAGTTTGAAGCTTCGTTTTTGAATTATTAACGAAAAACACTGGCCAATCAGAGCGCGCGTAGAGCCCGCGCTCAGGGAC